AGATCAACAGGCCATAACAATCAAAATCTGTAGAGTTCACGTTTATGGTGATGATTATGATGGTATACATGTAGTCTACTTAAAATCTGTTAATTATTTCAATTCGTGAGTTCTAAGTAGTAATGACATCAGAGTTGTTATACACCCCATGTCTCAACCAATCCTCCTTGATTTAATCATCATAATAAGTGTAAAAAATAACATCACTGAGGGTGAAAACTCAAATCAGCTGTTTCTTCGATAAATTGGTTTGCATAAGCACGTGCGGTTTGTCGTTGCAAGTTATTCAATATTATAAACCCAATGATAAAATGACCATGAACTTTGAATTCTGGTAATTATATTTCTGTGATAACTTATTTGTGGTCTGTAGATCGCTGGAAGACGACACCAGCAGAGGTCATTAGAGACCTATATTAGAACCGATTACAAACGTCAAGAGACTTTTTCTAGTGTTGATAATTGCTTCACTCGAAGACTCTGTGACTATGCTGCAAACTGGCTTTAGATCAGTTACATATAAAATGTAAGCAATGTTAGGGAACTTGGAAGAAAGTTAATGCAATTCAAGAACAAACGCTAAGTTATTATTACTTATTAAATTTAGGTTTTAACAAATTAGTAAATTACGCTTGACGTAATAATTTCGGCACGTTCGACTTCTTAATGCCTCTAGATTTTTAGTTCGTGAAGACTAACTTTTTATGCTGTCTTATACACAGCATAAAACAGGCTGAAAAGTATGTTTTCACACACATTGGATGCATCAAACACTATGCAGAATTTTCGTCCTGTGCAATTTCATCGATGCTGACTCTACAGTTGTCTCAATTTCTCTTTTAGAGCTACATGTTACGGTCGAAAGTAACGAATAGTATTTTTGTACAATGCAGTTTAATATTCTTCTCCCATCTGCGATTAGATCTCCCAAATTCTCTCTTCCTTTCAGGTTTCCCCTCCTGCATGTACGTTGTGTCACAATTTCTTATTAGCGTGGTACTGAACACTGCAAAATAAAATCAATGAACAGCCTATCTGTCTATTTCAGAAAATATCGCCCTTGCTACATGATGTTGATGTTGACACTAAGAAGGCCACATTTGCCCTGGCTTACTTTTGGGAAAAATAAATATGTTAAATTTTGCATTGCATCAACATAGTGCATATTTTTTTTTCAAACCATTATACTGTGCTGTTTCAGTTTAAAAGGAAACAATTGATTCATGAGAAATATAATGAATTCTTCTCGGACTACCGGTCATGTAAGGTCGTTTATTGGAGAAAACACGAAAATTTCGAGAATCATCTGTTTCCTTAACCTCAGGGTACAGTATCCTGAGGATGTGGACCATGGCTAGTCACCATGAAAGCTTCAGGTCATACATCATGAGAAATAATTTGTTACATAAATAACTTTCCTATTTAAACTATGACCATACTTTTTCTTTAAGAAAGAGAGAGATGCCTATGATTCTATCACTTACATGTGTGTATGTATCCACAGACTAATAACTTTTGAAAGAACTCATTGGTTTTCATAAATGATATATGAATATCATTTCATTTTAAATTTCTGATTATCTAAATTAGATCTAAGTGTTTATGACAATGGTGTATTATTGAAATAACAAATGTTATGGGCATTATGCATTGTTCTAATTTAATTAAAATGTATCTTTTGGAAACTGGAATTTGTTTCCATCAAGTATAACTTACTGTAGTGCCCAACTGATAGAGGAAGCTCCTAAGGATGGATGTGGATAGACTGCAGTCTGGCATATACATACTTCCTAATGTTTTTATATATATATATATATATATCATCAGCCTTTAAGTTCATTTATTACAGGTACAAGTCTGTTACTATGAAACTAATCATGCTACTGCAAAGAGTTGTGAATTATTTTCCCTGCTGTTTTGTTGATTGTACACCATATAAAAAAAGTTCAATATAAAATTAGTGCAGTAGTTTCGAAAATTAAATGTGTGGATGGACAGAGATGCGGACGTGGTTCTGTAATAAGGGAATAAGAATGATGCATAAAAACTGCAATCTGGTAGAAGTTCCCCACATTTCCGAGGTGCTTGCTGCCTCCACCACCATTGCCCTGATGATGGAAGCAACAATCACACCTGGAATATCGGAAATATTCTACCAGACTACACGCGCAGCAACTCAGAAGACAATTATCGTCGTTTTCGAACATGTTTGTGTATTGAGTAAATATTGCCACGTGTTCGTCCCCATCCGGTACTGGAAACCTCGGATTAAAGCTAGGTTAGGTATGTTAAAAGGGTTATCTTAGACATAATTCTTCCATCCATGAGAAAATCTTGATTTTTCATGTATCTTACACGGTACGGGGGTCGGAAAGAGCTTGTTCGTGCCTTGTTACATAGGATTTGAGAGAACCTAGAAGGCTGAGACAATAGAGAAAGTCAAAACGTCTGGTGCAAACATGTCTTGCCATACCATTAACACGATTTAATCAAGTGTACTGAAGGTCTTGCAGTGGTTACCGCAGCAGTTGAAGACAACAGTCCGAGTGGATAATAACTGGTTTTTTCTTACACTTTTAGGCGTATTTTATTGTTCCCTTTGAAATTATGGATATATAACTATTTGTGTAAGAAATATTGCATATTTGCGTGATTTCGTCGGGAGTTGATTTATTAGAGTAAATGTGGGAAGCGTTTGTAAGGCAGGTACAATATCATGATATGTTCCATGATTCACTGCAGTGCCTTTGTATTTATTGTGAAATCTCATAACTGTTGCATTACAGCGCAAGCCACTTCCTTATAGGTTATGATAAGGAATTTAGTTACGTTTGGGATTACTCGACTGTCATTGAACATAATGGGTCAAGGAGGATCAACAGCAACTATCAGTGTAAGAGCGACAATCATATACTAATTTTAATGATAGATCTTTTTTTACACTAATGTGTTACAATAATTTTTTATGAATTACAGAATATGCCATCATTATTGCATGACATTGATGTGCCAACTAAGAAAGCAACATTTGCCATGTCATGTTTTTGGGCACCAGATTCATTATTTGGCATCCAGAAAGGTGTTATTCGTACTCGTGTTGGATTTGCAGGGGGTACAACAGAACATCCTACATACCACAAAATGTAAGTGGAATAAATTTGTTAGAGAAGGAAGTCATGCATGTTGATGTTAAGTTTGATAATATTCTAATAAATGTAGAAGTAGAATCTCTTATTTCACATGAAAATTCATTAATTTGTCTAAATCTAGGAATAAGATTGACACCACCAATAAATTTGACACATTTTTAACAGTATAATTGTAAACATAAGGTTAGTTTCGAAGTTGAGTAAAACATTGTGTTATGAAACTTTCTGCAGCAGAAAGTTGTGGTTTATTTAACAATGCTGATAGTAGTTCAAATAATATGGCATCAAATTGTGGACTCTGGTGAGATACAAAATCTTTTGGAGGCTCTAACTGTGTATGAAGAACTGGTCTTGTCAACAAATAATTAATTGACTTTTTACAGAGGAGATCACACAGAATCGATTGAAATTGACTATGACCCAAATGAGATATCATACAGTGAATTGCTAGATATGTTTTGGAAGCATCATGACCCAACGGCAAGGACATCAAAACAGGCATGTGGAATGAAGTAGAAAGCCTTAGTTTTTCTTTATAAATTAACATTGTGATAGCAGAACCCAATGGTTCAACAGAATCCTGAGCTAGTGCCATCCACCTCCTGTGATCACAGTGCTTCTCCCTATGATCCATATTAATGTTATCCTCTTCACTTACCCATAGTCTTTTAGGCATCACGATCTTAACATTTCTATGCAGTCTGTACAAATCATGAAGTTTCACATTCTTCAATATGTTATACTGCTTACATAATTTGTTGTAGGTATGTTTATTTCTCTGAACTTTAATTTTTAGACATTTTTGACATATAAGTGAACTTACTTTCCTACAGTACACTTCATTAATTTTGTATCATGATCAAGAGCAAAAGGAGTTGGCTGAGAGTACACTGAAAGAAGAGGAAAAAAATAAATCTGCGTGTATTGTCACAAAAGTTTTACCTTCTAGAGAATTCTATGATGCTGAAGAGTAAGTAACATGTGTTTTATGTTGCAATAAATTGTATTTAATGGCTTGATGCAGGTGTAAGAACTGAATATTCTTTTTGCAGTTACCATCAGAAATATCGTTTACAGCAGCATCCATTGCTTATGGAAGCAGTAGGTCTGGTTCCTGGAGATAAGCTGAAAAGCTCTCATCTGGCTGCAAGACTTAATGGTTATGTTGTTGGCAGAGGTGGTGTGTCCCAGTTTGATGCTGAAGTGTCACGTCTGGGTTTGGACGAGAAAACAGCAGATTATGTTCGTAAACTAGTGGTTAAATATGAAGGCCAAGGATTGTTTTGCTAATTTCCTTTTCTTATAAGAGTAACTTGTTCAAAATGTAGTCTTCTAAAGGAGGCCTGCACAAATCCTGGGTGCCGTGTTGCCATGGCAACTAGAATTTTTTGTATATTACTTAGATGGGTTTGTATCGTTGCATATTATTACATAACATTTTCAAATTTGTGTCATGTAGTTCTGATTGTATCATGTAGGGGCAACTTCAGTTTTTCTGTTTGTGATGTATATATTTTCTGGTTCCTAGTTTTTGGAGATGATTTAAACTTGTAGAAAATTGTGCACGCCTATTTTAAAGTAATGTGAATGAAAATATATAATCTTTCAATGCTGGTGTTTATTATGTGTGAGTATTTGAAGAAAATGAGAATGGTTTTAAATTGATGTAATAGTAATTGAAAGTTTTTAAATGCCAATTAATTTATCAAACTGCCTTTGCATCAGTTCTATTTATATATCTTTATTGGCTAGACTTTATGTATTGCTATGCAGTTTTAAAATTTATTACTACTTTAATTCTTAAAGGTTCTTATTTGGATGAGCCCAGTGAGAATGGGAGCAAGAAGAAAAAACACCAATTTATTGACAGATACATGTAAATGGCTTTAGAATCAAACTTTTAATTGAAGTACCATGAAAGTGTACATTTATAAGAGTTGATTAAATCCCCCCCAGCCAACAAAACCTTTATAATGAATTTTGTGAATTTTTACATGCTAACATTTGGGTAAAATATTTTGTTGGCAATAATGGCTGTTAGGAATACAGATACATTAATGGTATTTTAATATTGCAATGCATCTCAGGAAAATAAATTATGCCAATGTACGCTAAATAGAGGCAATGTTCCATTGGTTACAGTGGCAATAAAGTGTTGAACTTTTTGGGATATTTGGAATCCAGTCCATCAAATAAGTTTCCTTTATTTTGTCCCTACTAACAAATTAAAAACCAAATTGTATGCATTTTGCCCTGATTTCTTCAACTCGGTATGAGACGGGTAGAAAACCGACATCATGTAGAATGAACCCGTCATAATACCATCCCAAGTGTGTCTTTGCACTTTATTTTTTTCTTGCCATCATGTCCAGATCAACTCTGGGGATGGGGAAGTGTTTTTTTCTGGGAATAAGTCTGTTTTGTGTGTGTGAAGCTGATATCTCATTTTCATCTGGTGCCAACGTCTGAAGTGCATGGAGTGCTATGTCTAGGCGCCTATATATCTAAATTGAGTGACAAGTAGGCACATGTACTACTTACGCTTAAGCTTTTCACTGCTCCATAGTAATTTAATTTTGTGTATGTTTACATGTACCATATCGTAATTCGTATTCTAAGTAGATATCTCTTAGTTAAAAAATGCTGCTGGTTTAAAAATGAGCTTTCCGAGTCTGGCCCAGAGTTGCATATGCAGAGAGTTTTTGTCCCACTCTCATTTTCTATAATCATACAAGGAAACATTGTATTGAACTAAAGTTAATGCATGCTGGTTAATGAATAAAGAAATAAAATTAAGTCATAGCTGAAATTAGAACAGAAAGCAGAATAGTATAACAAATAATTTTCTTTATTTTACCAATAAACTGAAAATGAAGTAATCAACTGTAAGATATTAAACCTATGTGCGTTGTGTTTTAGCATCCAAGATGATCCCCTCGTGGAAGCCCCAGCCATTTTAATAAAAAATAAATGCAGTATAAAATAATGACTTGTACATTGTAACTGTTTCAATGCAGCAAAAAATATGGAGGTAAATTACGTAACTTTCTTACCAACTGAGCTACCGTGTCTTCATCTCTCAACTGTTTATTATTCGCTGAAAGATAGATGGCAATAATATGTATAGCCTTAGATTCGTACAGATTGTCCATTGTCTTGTCAAGTAGACTGAAAATTCACACTATTGGATAATTATGGACGTACGACTGTTCGTAGTTTTGTTTTTGTGGTACTTTAGTTATGATGCATTATGTACACCACCGCTACCAGTTGTCATGTGGCATGGAATGGGTATGTATGGAGTTTTCTTTCAATGTCAACTTTAAATGTTGTTATTGTATCTTTTTCTGTTAACGAATTAACGCTAATAAAAATTTTAATTAAAACTACCCTTTTATTACAGGTGATTGTTGTTGTAATCCCCTCAGCCTTGGCAGAATAAAGACGATAATTGAAAACAATGCACCTGGCATTTATGTGAATTCATTGAAAATTGGATCATCAATTGTGGAGGCCAGTATTCTATTTGTCACTTTCTGAGTGTTGTGGAAACGGTGAGAATTATTGTTCCTTATTTAATTCATCATGGTGTACATCATGATGTATTTTATGTTCTGGACTGTGTAGAGGTTAATGCAAAGTAACACAACTTACACATAAAATTTCATCCAGATCTGATTCGACTGGGCAGACAGAAGGACAGACACGATCAGCCCATAATGTGTTCTTGCAATGCACTTCGAGCAAAGAACGCATAAAAATATGTATTATTTTCATTAAAAAGTAATAGTGTTGTAACCTAACTATATAAATATATAATGTATAGTAATTTTTTTGTCTGTGTTTCAGGATATTGAGAATGGATTTTTCCTAAATGCAAATAAACAGGTGGAAGAAGTTTGTAAGCAAGTAGCTAATGATCCAGAGTTGAAGGATGGATATAATGCATTGGGATTCTCTCAGGGTGGACAGTTTTTGTATGTTGACTATGTATTTTATCACACATTGGCTTTGTTGCATTATGGCTATAATTTTGCTTTCAAGAAATGGTTTATGTAGTGTATACAGTACAGAAGAAAGAATGTGTTCAAATGGGAAAACACTAATAATATTGAGGTGTGGTGGTGGGTGCAAACAATGAGCCCTTCTTTCTTCTCTGCAATAATGAAATATGTAACATATCACTGCAATAAATATCCCACTTGCTCTAATGATTATGTTGACAAATAGAGGGTTTTCTGTTATTACATGTTCTGTTGGACATGTTTGTTGAAATAATAAATACGAGTGTAACTCGTCACCAGACGTTACTTACCAGTGGTTATGTATGTAAAAATGTTTCCATTTATGAGTTTGCAGATGTTGTTAATAATATGTGTCACAACAGTAATTTATTGTATAAGATTGATTGTTCGTACTCATCACTGCGTGGTGTATATATGACTTAATATCTGTTTGTTTAATTTCCAGACGTGCAGTTGCTCAGCGTTGCCCATCACCACCTATGTTGAATCTCGTTACTTTTGGTGGCCAGCATCAAGGGATTTATGGATTACCGCACTGTGGATATCCAAATAAGTGGTGTAATTACATTCGTGAACTACTTACATACGGAGCTTATTGGAGGTAAATTTTAGAATGGTTAAATTCTTGTGGAAACAGAATGTAGGTATTAATAATTTTTTAGAAAATATGAAAATCTGTATTCATGAAGATGCTCCATGCGTCGATTGATTAGTCCTTTGTTTCTTGTAATGAAAACCGTTAATACATATTGTAAAGTTGATACAGCATTATAAAATAAGAAAATCTAACAGAAGAGGCCACCGTAACACAACGGGTGCAGATGTTCTTATGCAGAGAAAAATAAAAGTTGTCGTTTGTTTGCAGCTGGGTTCAGAATGATCTGGTTCAAGCAGAATACTGGCACGACCCACTGAATGAAGAAGAGTATCGAAACCGCAGCGTCTTCCTTGCGGACGTAAATAATGAAAGAGTAAAAAACAAAACTTATATAAAAAATCTGCTGAAACTGAAGAACTTCGTGATGGTGAAATTTAATAACGATACAATTGTCGAGCCAGTAGAAACAGAATGGTTTGGGTTTTACAGACCAGGGCAAAGTACTGAGGTGATAACACTTCAGGACAGTGAACTGTATGTTGAGGTGAGTTTGATCTGCGGTGTTCAGACCGTTCTGAAAGACGAACAGCCGATTCTTCATCAGATGAGTTCTTCTGAGAAATAAATTGTTGAATATTTTGAGCTGTATTTGTGATTAAATTGTTGCTGATTTTTTGTGTTTGGATATATTTAGTTTTATCTACATTTAATTGTGTCCTGACGTGTTGTGTCGCATTCCACAACCTTGGTTATTCACTGAGAGATAATGAAGTTATTGCTTCCAGGATCGTCTTGGACTGCGACAAATGGACAAACTTGGCAAACTCAGGTTCTTGGCTGTGGATGGAAATCATCTCCAGTTTAGTGAAGATTGGTTTGTCGAGAATATCGTGGATAAGTATCTTAAATGAGTTAACGTTTAAGGTTAAGATTTGTTTGTCACATATCGAACAACAGGGAAGAATAGCGTAATACTTCATACGTTTTATAATCTTGACTTGACTTTTATTTATTTAAAAATACTTTTAGTGGTTAGTCTCTCTAGTGCTTTGGGGTTTGCATTTTGATGAGACTGGGTCATGTTTTAGATCGTGCCATTGGTTGGGCTGTAACCACATAACACAAAATTTGTGAATCGGCAGTCTCACTTTTCGTGCGCAAATGATCCGAGCGGTTTGTCACGGAAAGAGAACTTCAAAAACTTTGCTGTAGCGCGAGAGAGGAACGACGCAACTCAGATGATGACCACTAGGAGCGCGACTGCTGGCATGGCAGTAAGGTGGTGACTCCGAAAAAGAAGAAGGGAGAGAGAGAGAGAGAGCGTCTTTTGTGTTCGATTCCATTCCACAGAGTCTGCGGCCACTGCTTGGTGGGGTTTTTGGAGGAGTTCCATAAAAACGTGTGAATTTAGTTCACTTTTGCAGCTTGAGTCACCATTTTACTGCCTTGTTAAATAATTGTGCTCGTAGTAACTATACTTAAAGTAACGTCATTTCTCTTTAATGCCACAAACAATTTTTTGAAGGTCTTCTTTGGAATAGAGTTTAGTGGGTTAATTTTTTTATACTCGTTAGTTGTTTTGAAATTGCGCGGATCATTTTTTTTTCTCTGTACACTGAAAAGAAACAGATTCAGGCGTTCTGTATAACTTACGAAATGTGTTTACCAGGCCACAGTCTTAATCTGCCTTGTGTTAAATGTTTATTGTGCCACATGCCAAAGAAAGGGTTTTGTTCTTTTGTACCAAAGAGCATTTATTTGTATATAAATTGATTTTAAAATATGTGTTGCGCATTGATTGTGTTATTCTGGGTTTGTCTTCTTCTAGTATCAGCTCCGTAGTCTGATATTGGTTGGTCATTCTGGTTTATATAGATGAAAAAAGTGCACTTAGTGGAAGAATGTCTGATGGATATTTTGAAATTCAGATGAATAATTGAACAATTAACATGTAGATCACTTGATGAAAGTTTTAGTGATGAAATTATAAAAATCTGTTGAAAAGTCTTTGCTACTTTTTCTTGAAAGAATAGGCTACTCTGAGCCGTGGCATTTGTGGAGAATTTTCAGCTGTTTCTTTGAATGTTTTCTAACGTTTGATAGGACGGGGTTTGGCCCACCACGAGGCACAGACACATCCATGCCTCGAGTGGGATCTGAACCCGTGATCCGAGCATTTGAGTGGCCGTTCCTCAGGCACGGCATTTTACTCCTCACCCGTTCTCTTATGTCACACATCACCTCTCAACTCTGACCTCTGCTGTCACGTTACACCACTCACCTCCAACTTTTCCCAACCTCATCTTACTTCGCATAGCTCGACCTAGCCTGTCCTGACCTCAAATCTCCGCACTTATCGAGACAGATCGGTGAATAAATTGACTGATTTACTGTCTGGACGGCCAGGGTCGTTTCCGAGGAGGGTCTTTGCCACCATTTCTGGGTCCCGCTCGTGCTTCAGGCGATGGTTACCACAATTTCTGTTCCTGGAGGTGAAAGGTCTGAAGCGTGAAGCTGACCACTCAGCTTCCTCGTTTGCCAACGTAGAATGTGTGGAGCTTTACATTCGCATCTCCTCTATATCTTTATAGAGTCGTACTTAGGCACAATTTCATCTTTATCTTTACCTTATAGTCTTTGTATTTATATGTACAAATGTCTTTTGTTTTATTTGCAGATTTTTATGAAATTTACTAGGCAGATTCTGCCACAATTCATAATCACTTGCTGCAAAGAGCCCTTGAGACATTAGCCTGACTGATCGATTAGATTGTTCGGTGGTTTCCTTAAGAATGCTAGTTTCTTGATAAAGACTGAAACGTGCTTTGGGTCCCCCCCCCCAAGGCATTATTCTTTTGGCCCGATACATTCGAATCACTGGAAGTGGATTTCTAAGATTTGATTGTTGTAACATTTTCTTTCCTTTCCAGTTTTTACAGGTCCATTCACTGGAGATAAATAAGATACAATAAAGGTCTTCTGTAAATGCGAATTCACTCTACTCGCCGACGAAAAGTACTTTCGACTTTTTATATAGAAACGCGGACTGAGACCCCATTTTATTTATTAGCAATCTTTTTATACGTTTTGGAAAGCTTTGGCCCATGACTTATTTCAACTTCAAAAGACTTTATTAATTTGAAATATTTTTAAGTTTTTCTCTTTTTATCGGAAAGTCACAATGGCTTCATCCGGCCTTCAGCTTGTGAAAAGGACGGTAACTCGGAAAAATGAAACAAAGTTTATCTCCCCCCCCTCCTCTACCCCATTTGCTGCTATTACTATTGCTTTTGTGATATTCGTATTGTTGGAAATAGTTCTATTTGTGCTCATGGATTGAAATACGTTTATTACAACCGAGTTGCAGTTAACATTTTAGACATGGTATAGCTTTTTATAATTACTCTCCGACTACAAATTTAATTATACCGAACTGCACGACTTTACAGTTTGTTAACGAAAATACGAGGGTGGTGATGATGATGATGGAGGCAGCAAGGACCTCTGAAACGTCGTTCGTGGTGCTTACTTAAGCACCACGAACAAATTTAATTTTCCTACCTGTGAGTCCTTTGCGTTGATTTATCACTAGAAATGGGCCCATTTCGTATTTTACACCAATGCGTGTTTCTTAACATGTTACTGAAACGTTAAGTTAACAGCGTCCTGACCATAGCCCAGTACATCATATTAATTCTAGATAGGAAGGCTCTGGAATGGAATGAGTTTGATGAAAGTATTTGCATGGATGCGATTTATTTTCGTTTCGTTAATCATTAGTTCAATATTTTGGTGGATATCTAAATAAAAAAAAATAATCATGTTTTGTGGTTTGCTCCGTAGAATTCTTGTTCATGCCCTTTGTTACGCTACACAGCAGAACACACTGAAGGTGATAATCGAGTAGAAATGGGGATCAGAATATTCAGGAATATAAGATGAAAATGTTTCAAGAGTATTCTTTGAATTTGTTAAGAAGAAAAAAATTCATAAGCGCAAATACTCGGTCGACGTGGTTGGTGTAGGTCTGTCTTGTGATAAGTTCATTTGAAGCTTCACGATCATAATTTTATATGCATTCTTATCTTTGTGTGTCTTATTTCCTAGGTCCACGTTTTCTTCTGGATACATTGTTCTTAAAGACTTTGAACTTATGCATTTATATTAGGGCGGGAGACCAAGTTTTACAACCACATAGAGCAAGTAATATCATAGTGTCTAGATTTAGAGACTAGCAATGACGAAATTGCAATTTTAGAAAATTCGAAACGCCGCGATACTGCGGCAACTTCTTCAGCTCTGCTGTTGGGCTTGTAGCCTAAACAGGACTTGTAGGCGCACACTCGCCGATACATGAATTCGCATTTTACTATTCGCCTTCTGCCACAATTTGTGCCACTTTTAAACAAACTAAAGGACAGTTATGATACACTCATTCAATACCTGACCATTCTTCAGGCAAGATAAGATTTTTCGCTGGATTATGTTTGGGGTCGTGGACTTGAATTGTGTGTGCAGTGCTGATCTGTATTTATTTATCATGGTTCATAGTTGAGGGCTCATGGATTTAAACTAAAAGTACTATATGTATTCGTAATGTCTTGCTGGTGATGATTTATTATGTAAATTACCAAGTTATTCTTAAGTATATTCCAACTAAGAAAACATTAAAGAAATGTTTATAAAATAAATTTCATGTTTTCACATTGACGAGTATGGAAATGACAGTTGTATGATATGATGCATCGTCTGGTAGAAGTTTACGGACGATTTAGAGGTATTTCATGCTTCCATCATCAGGGAGATCACTCACAAATGGATTCTACCTTCATTTTTTTCTCTCAAATTGGGAACAGTAACGGATATATTTACATTATTTGTTTATATTAAGATGCATACTCTTTTTGATTTCGTAATTATAAATATTCATATTAAATTGAGAGTGGTATTTCACAGCATTTAGCTTTCATCAGCCATACACCCACGCTCCATTAACAAGCGGTCTGTTCTAACAATGAAACACTGTAGTGCTTGGGGGGAGGGGGTGGAGTTGGAGCCTTTATTTTGTTCTGATGCACGTCTGAATCAAAGCAATAGCCAGTAAGCTATTCTCTTTTTCTGTACGGAACAGCTGGTCCATTGTGATTGAACTTGTCCCCAAATATTCTGTCTCCCTCAGTCATACGTAAACAAGAGCATCGGTGCAATATTATTCTAACAGAACAAAACGCATACAAATCCATATAATTTAGCACAAACAAATACCCGTAGCCATTTCATTAATAACGTCTGAAAGCATGTCGGGTATTCTGCTTTTGTTGAGTCAGAAGGATGAATTTGTTGACTAATTTGTTCGTGCTTTTACCTCAATATACGAAGTGTGTACATTATAAAAAATAAATAAATAAAAGCCAGCAAGGTTTATAATGCGAAAACAACTGTTTCCGTATTACTAAGCTCTCTCCCCCTTCCCCCCCCAATAGAAAAAATCGCCCGTGTCAGGATAGAGGGAAGTAAGTCCCAAAATTAACGACATGTATGATTGCTACTTTACGGCCTATTGGCCTATTTCGTATCACCTGCAATTTAAAAAAAAACCATTACCTCAGCCTTAAGTTCGCTTGAAAATTATACAATGATAAAAAATTGTTTTTTTTAGCGATCAGTAAAACTGATTCAATGAGAACTTTCCGAAAAATGTTTTTCGTTTCCTGAAATTTTAGGACTATCTCCCATTTACCATGGCTTCGGCGAAACATCATAAAACTTGATTAATACGTGTATAAACCTTACATATAACATTTGTTCCAACCTAAAAGATTTATGTATATTTTCGACATTTAATCGGCTTTTCTAACATAAAGTTACATTTTAATTTTAATCTCTGTATTCGTGATATACTCCGTTTGAATTTTTGCTTATTTACCTCTTATCCTGTTTTTCGTGGTTTTACTTGATTTGTTTAGGTGAATATCGGTTAGAACCTTCAATAGATCACGACTGCGTCCTTCCAAATCTTCACCTATTCATCATCATTCATCTCATTCCACACTTTATACCATGAAGTGTAACAGCTTCGTTTAATAGTCTAATATGAAATAAATCGACAAATTTAGCCGGAGCATTTATGAGTTATTTTGTTCTGAATGCTACGTGTTTGACGAATTCCCAATCTAATATTTTAATATTTTCCGTCAAATCACAATTTTAATAAGATAATACCCAATCGTTGCTCTGGTTCATTATTATTGGGTCAAAACATACGTTGACATAAATGACAAAATGGAATCATTAAACGATATTTATATTTCACGCCGTAAATTGCTGACGGCTGATTCTGTTTGATAACTGAGTATTTATGAAAATTCATTCATGAAGTGACAGTATTTAATTAATTTGAATGTCGTGTTTATAATTGATCTGCAGTTCAGTAAACATAATTTCGAAACCCCTTGTCCGTATTGAAGAATGTAAATGACCGTAGTTAAGCGAAAGTTGACGAAAGCCGAGTGACGTGGCAGGACCGACCGGAAGTTGTTTCCGTGAGTCACACCGATTGGGCTAGGTGTAGGGTTTACTTGGCATTGAATGGCGTGAGAGGATGATTGTGTGTAGTGAAACGGATGAGGTTCAAGGTATTATTCCTACACTCATCTGGTGGTGGAACAGACGGAAACCAGGAATTAACTCAATCAAGATAGTTGGCAGACCGAGAGTGAAATCAGGTAATTTGATTTCAGATGTTCCAGTAAAATAAGCAGTTTGGGGTGGAGGATATGGTAATAAGAAATGTATAGATTTAGTTTGGAGGTTTTATAGATGCAGATAGAAGGATAATATTAAGATACATGTAGGAAAAACACGTCAGTGTGGACAGAGTATTGTATCTTCTCTGATATTTAGAATACGTAGTAAGCCTAATTATAACTGAGCCGTCAAATATAGTCGTAATGTTGGTTTAAATTATGTAACGGGACCACTACTTTATATAAATGCTAGATTAATTA